GCGTCCACGGCCCCCCCCCCCCTGGGCCGCGCACATGCCGCCGGCCATGGTTTGCGCCCCCCCTCTCTTGGACACCCCCCTCTTGGCCGCCCCCGAAGAATATAGCTTTCCAGACCTGTAGACCTATCTGGACTGCTTAAAGCCTCGACGGGAATCTATAGACGTCAAGGTCCCGGTGCTACAGTTTTCAGCCCCTCCTGGAATGGTCTGGGTCAGTGGGTGGGGGGGGGGGGGGCGTTCGAGCCGCGAGGGCTTCGGCGACGTTCGTCGGCGCTCGGCGGGCTTCCAGCCTCGGGAGGCTCTCCCGCAGCTGCGCCCCGGCGACAGCGCGCTCCGGGGGGGCTGGACTGGCGCGCCCGCACCGGGGGGGGCCTCTCGGGGGGCCCAGGCCTCCGACATGATGAGGTCATATAGGGTCATATTGAAATATGCCGAAGCTTTGCGCGGGCGCGTGAGCATGTCTTCGCATTTCCTGACGCTCACCCTTTGCACGCTTGTCTTTAAGAGGACCCGATTGCCCTCGTGCGACATCGCAGCGCATGCGCCCAAGGCCAGGGAGCGTGAGGCCAGGAGCGACGAGAGAAGGATCGGCTCCAGGGGGGCCTCTCCGGGGCCTCTCCGGAGAGGCCCCTCGGGGGCCCAGGCCGCGGCCCCGAGGCCAGGGAGCGCGAGGCCAGGAGCCACGAGAGAAGGATCGGCTCCAGGGGGCCTCTGGGGGGCCTCTGGGGACCCAAGCCGCGGCCCCAAGGCCAGGGAGCGCGAGGCCAGGAGCCACGAGAGAAGCATCGGCTCCAGGGGGGGGGGGGGGGGGACGCCTCGGCGCTCCACTGCCCACCGATCGCAGACGAGGGGGGGCCGACGGCCCACCGCCCGCCCCCAGAGGGACGGGCTCGGGGGGTGGCCGCAGGCGTGAGCTAACCACTATCGGGTGGGACTGGTGGAGCCGTGGGCATGCCTAAAACGACGCGAAGATCGGGACAAAATCGGATCGGCATAATTCGAAATCTCTGAGAATTGGCGGTTTTGGAGTATGTATTGGGCGCCGCGGCCGCTCCAGAGCGTTCCGGAACGCTCTGAGAGCGCTCCGGAACGCTCTGGAGCGATTTATCCCGATCCTAGCTCTGTTTAAATGCCGCACTTACTCGATTCGAAGATTTTCTGCCCGATTATTTTCGACCATCGATTTTACTCTGCTCCATCCTAATCTCTTGGCATCGCTCGGACGTGTGCATTTTCCCTTCGGCGAGGGCCATCGAGGAGCATCCTTGATCATTTGGCGAAAAACCCACGCACGAAACCGAACAAAAACACAGGGAATGGACGTCCGAGCGATGGCGAGAATCTGCTCTACTCCATTTTAGTCTAATCGACCCTACTCTACGCTACTCTACACTCGATCGACCCTGCTCTACTCAACCTTGTCCAGCTCTACCCTGCTCTAGCCTACTCAACTCTTTCTCGACCCTTTCTATGTGCAGTGGGGAATTGCAAGTGACGCTATGCAGGTACTCGAGTTGGGAATTGTAAGGGACGCTATGCATGTACAGAAGAAGCCATGCGGATAGTTGGCAGTGTACTCTACTCTATACCTGCTACTCCGCTCTGACATCATCTACTCTACCCTTTCGGATATCAGTGGAAGCCATGCGGATGCAGGGCAAGCCATGCGGATAGTTGGCCTGCGGGATACCGAAAGACATGCGGACATTTAGAATAGCTGAGGAATGCACGAAGACAGCGAAAGGCATGCGGATAGTTCAGCGACTGCAAGGGGAACATCGGAAAAGAACAGAGGACCTGTTCTTCACGCGCGGCGTTGGGACTCTTGTAGACAACCTACTTTCAGAATCGCGCAGTCAGGTTTCTGCTGCAGTTCCCGGTTTTTGCCGGGCCCCCAGCCAGCAGAGACAAAAAGAGCCAGGCCCGGCCGCGGAAGGAAGGGGCCGAGACCTCTGCAGGGGGCCCCGCTGTGAACCAACATCACGGCGTAGAAATGCTTGGCCTGGCCACTCGGCACGCTCGAGGCGGCCGGGGCCGGTGATCTCGGAGTCGCAGCTGTGAGTTCCCACGGGGCGCGCCTCGTTCGCGGCCGGAGGCGGGCGGGCGCGGGGGCCCTTGGCAGATCGATGCGGCTCCAGAGGTGCTGCAGGGAGGGCGGGGTCTGGGGCTCGGGTTGGTGATGTATCCGATGGTGCTGATGCTTACAGTCAAAAGCCCTGATAAGGACGCGCGACTTTGCTCAGGGAGGGTACCCTTGCTCTTCCTTGCTCTTCCTTGCGTCCTTGCGTCCTTGGGGTTTTCGTCGCCCGCCGCTCCAGGAATCCCAACTTCAGCTTCCAAGGGTCTTGCGTCCTTACTCGCGCGTCCTTGTTAGGGTTTTTGACTGTATGATGTTTATGATGTTTGGATGTGGCGATGTTCGATGAGGTTCGGGGCTATGGTTGTGATTCTTCCAATGTAGTGTATGTCTTCGCGACGTCGGACTTTTGGGTCAGTGTCGCCAGTTCTGAGCCGAGTCTCGGGCCGCGGGGCTGCGAAAAGCCAGCTGGTGCTGAAAAACCTTCCGTGGAAGGGACTTGCGAGTGCGGATCGGGGAGAAACGATACGCCAGATGTTTGGGAGGGAAGGGGGGGGAGAGAGAGAGAGAGAGAGAGAGAGAGAGAAGTGAAAACCAGTTGGTGATGAAAGGCAGCCCTATGGAACGGGTTTGAGAGCTCCGAAGGGGGAAAAGCCGAAGCGCCCGAGGTTTGTGTGAGCGGGTGCGGGGTGGGGGGACGGAAACCAGCTGGTGATGACAAGCAGCCCTGCGTGAGGGGTCTGAGAGGTCCGCATCGCGCCCTATGTCTGCATGGGTCGGGGGGGGGGGGGAGGGGCGAAAACCAGGTGGAGATGAACAGGAAGCAGACCTGAGGAAATGGTTTGAGAGGCCTGAATCGCTCAGGAGGGGAAAAAACACACAGACACAATTAATCGTCGATCCCCCGGAAAATATGGAAAAATATGGGAATTGGGCGGGAAGACAAAAAACATAAAATATGTGAAAATATGGGGAAGCTTTTTATTGGTGTGTATTTACTTGTGTGCCCTGGGGCCCCTTCAATCGCGCCCGTTGTCTGGGTTGGTGGGGGGGGAAGGGTGCGGCGCGCAACCTTCCTGGAGGGACGGGGTGCTGCTCTGGCTTGTGGAAATCTCGAGCTGCCTGCTCCTGGCGGCCTGCTGCGCAGCCCCCCCCCCGTGGCCACGCGCGGCCTCCTGTCGGGGCATGGGTGCCCTCTCCCGCCTCGTGCATCTCGTGCTGCGTGCCCTGGCCCCCGTGCCGAGCAGCCCCCGTGGCCACGCGCGGCCTCCTGTCGGGGCATGGGTGCCCTCTCCCCGCCTTGTGCATCTCGTGCTGCGTGCCCTGGCCGTCTCCGGCGAGGGGCGCCCCCGGAGCGGCCTGGGGGCCCGCCACGGCGAGAGCCGCGGCCGGGGGCGGGCCGAGGGGGGGAGGAGAGAATACTCCAGATTTCGTGATAGACAAAGGGAGGGGGTCACAACCCTCCCAGGCGAGAAGTTTTAGATCCCCCCAGACCATGCATGAAAGGGCGGCCCTTTGCCCAGACCCCCTCCGACGACTCCAAGACAGCTCGAATCAGACCCCCCACACATGTGACCCACCCCCCTTCGTTATGGAATCTGGAGTACCCATTGCATCGGTCGTTGAAAGTAGGAATTCTTGGAGCCCCAGATTCCAATCTACTTTAAAAGCGCCTTCCTGCTTCCATGATCGAGTGGCTTCAGCTTTTTTCTTTCCGCCCGCCTTGGGGGGCGGACGGAGCCCGATCTGCTTTCAACGCCTTCCTACCTTATGTTTCTGCCTGCTTCTTCCGACCGATGGGTACGAGGGTCCAGGGCCCGTCTTCTCCCGGGCCCGCTCCTCATGGCATGGAGGGGGAGTGTGCAGTTCGCCAGGGGCACGAGAGCCGTCCAGGAAGGCGCCCTGGAAGGCCAGAAGGGCCTCTCGAGAGGCTCTGGTCTCTCAGAGGGCCCCCCTTTGGCATCCGATGTTGCGAAGGAGCTGGGTGCAGCGTCGTTCGGCCACGCACCTAAGGGGGGCAGCGGGGAGGGGGGAAGGCTTCCTGGAAGCACCCCTGCTCCTCGGAAGGCGCGGGCCCTGCCTGCAGATGCAGGGCCGGCTTCGAAGAAGCAGCCTCCCTGCAAGACGCCGTCCCCCCTCCCGCTGCCCCCTCGAGTGCGCCGCCAGGAGACCCCGTCATTTTTCTCGAGCCGGATCCATCCACCAGGGCCCAGGGGGGCCCGAGACTCGGGAGGGGAAAAAGCACACAGTCACAGTATGAATCGTCAACCCCCAGGAAGATATGGAAAACTATGGGAAGTGGGGGGAAGACGAAAACCCAGAAAATACGGAAAAAGATTGGGAATCCTGGGATTTGTGTTTATTTGTGTGGCCCAGGGTCCCTTCAGAGGCTGGGCAAGAACGCCTGGCGCGAGCCAAAAATGCGGCGCCCAAGTCTGAGGGCTCTCACGCCACCCCCTCTGTCATGCAGCGCCAAAGGGGGGTCCTCCTCGTCCTCCTCCTCCTCCTCCTCCTCCTCCTCCTCCTCCTCCTCCTCCTCCTCCTCCTCCCCCTCCTCCTCCTCGAGGACGGAGGTGTTTCAGGATGGAAGATCCAAGAGGGCTCTTTGGACCACTGGGCGTTCTGGGAAGCTGTTGGTGTCCTGGGGGCTCCGAAGGGGGTGGAACCTCCCGCGAAAGGAGACGGCGATCCCCCCCCAATTGCTTCAGAGGGTGACCCCCATCGGCACCGCCTGGCTCATTGGGCGCCCCCAGAAGTAGGGCAACGCGATGCACACCTGGCCACTGCCCCAGGCATGGCCCATCCTGGGATCAGGAACGGTGTACACGCATCTGGCCATGCCAGGAGGGCGTGTACACCGCTCCTGGGCCCAGGATGGGCCAGGGTTGGGACAGCGGCCTCGTGTGGACCACGTCGCCCCGAGAGGCAGCCCAGTCCGCAGCAGCCGCGGGCCAGGCGCACGCGGCGGCCGCCGCGGTTGGGGCCGGCCCCTCCGCCGCGAGCGCTGCCGGCGCTGCGCAGATCGCGCTGGGCGGCTCCGAGCCGCTGCAGGTGCAGGCCGGGGCGCCCGCACGGGCGCTCGGGGCGCGCTCCGCCACGGGGCAGAGGGGCGGAGGGCGGAGGGCGGGGCGACGAGAAGGGAGGTAGCGAGGAGGTAGCGAGGAGGGGGAGGAGATGGGGGAGGAGGAGGAGGAGGAGGAGGAGGAGGAGGAGGAGGAGGAGGACGACGAGGACGAGGACGAGGACGAGGACGAGGACGAGGACGAGGACGAGGACGAGGACGAGAAGGAGGAGGAGGAGGAGGAGAGGAGGAGGAGGAGGAGACAGAGGAGGAGGAGGAGGAGGAGGTGGAGGGAGAGGAGGAACAGGAGGAAGAGGAGGCGGAGGAGGAGAAGGAGGAGGAAGCGTGTGGGCCGCCGGGACCAGCGGCCCAGCGTTTTTGTCGCAGCATTTTGCTCACGGACAACCCCAGCGGCCAGCAGCTGAGAGCCAGCCACGCCGTTCAGGGATAAAGAACAAGCCTGGCACAAATTTCGAGCGCAGTGTTAAGCAGCTCGAGATCTGGAGCGACCTCGACGTGCGCGTGATAGGTTCCTAACACATTTTATCGCATATTTGCAGGGGCAGAGATGGACATGCAACTGTGGAATAAGTAGTATACCTTGGTCGTCGTGGTGTCGGTATGGTCCTGCATGGTTCCAGTACGGGAGAAAGGCACGTTCGAGAGCACCCTCCAGGCTCAGGACCGCCAGAGGCAAAAATATTCCACCATGGCAGAAAGAAGTGCTCAAGCTCCCGAATGGTACGGGAAAAGAGCTGGACATGGAGATTTGTCAGTTAATATCGAGAACGGCTCAAGCCAACCCGACTGAAGCGCAGCAACACGAGAATTCCCAGAGACTTCCAAGCACGAGACGTTGCACAAAGATCTCAGATATGTAATCAAGAGCTCAGATATGGAATTAGGAGCTGGTCCAGAGTAGTATGACTGATGACAACGCATGATGTGCCAGTAGTTGTGCGAGCTATATGGGAAGCGCGCGCGCTGCGCGATTCACAGGACAGCAACAGAAGGAAGAGGACTGAAGCCCCAGGCTCGAAGAAGAAATGGGGGTGGGAACGGGGGGGGAAACGACGGAAGAACCAAACAGCAAACGCGACAGCAACAGTGAGACGATGGTACGAGATATATACTGGGTGAGGAAGGAGGGCGACGATCATTTTCCAATTGCACGATGGACAAGCAGCGCGGCCCGCGCCATGTCGCTTTGGCGCCCCGAAGGATCAGCCCTCCATAGATGGTGCAAGAAGCGAGCGAGGCCGAGCTTGCCCGCCAGGTTCTCCGCTTCCTTCCGGCACCTTGCACCGCGGGAGCTGAGAGGCCGCAGGCGCGCCGCCAGGTCTTCGGGCGCCTCGCGGGGAAGTAAATCAAGGCTAATCTGAATCTACGTGGAACGTCACTCCTCCTGAACCCACCAGTAGCCTTCGAAAGTCTGCGCAGGGCGTCAGTCCCTTGGGACCCCCCGAGAGGCCTTCGAAAATGGCGACAGCGTCCAATATCGCAGCCCGGTAGGGATGGCAACGACTAATCTGAATCTGCGTAGGACGTCACCCCTTTGCGGGACCCCCCAGCAGTTTTGCACAAGTGGCAAGCTCCGCAATTCGCAGACCCCAGGGATGGCGCAGGGATGGCGAGGTCGAGCGCAGGTCCGCGCATGACGTTATTCCGCTGGACCCCCAGCAGCCTTCGAATTTGGCGACAGTTTTGCAGACCGCAGCCCCCCAGAAATGGAGAGGTCGAGTTCAGCTTTGCGTATGGCGCCACTCCGGTAGACCCTTCAGCAACCTTCGAAAGTGGCGACAGTTCCGCATATCGCAGCCCCCCAGGGATGGCGAGGTTTAGTTTAGGTTTGCGTCTGACGCCACCCCGCTGGGCCCCCAGCAGCCCTCGAACGTGGCAGCCGTTTGACATACGGCAGCTACCCAGGGACGGCGAGGTTAAATTTAGGTCCGCGTACGACATCCTCCGCTGGACCCCCCAGCAGCCCTCAAAGTGGCGACCGTCTCGCAGATCACAGCCCCCCATGGATGGCGAGGTTTAACCGGGGAAACGTAAGACTCGAGGAAGCCGGAACTCGGGTGTGCCCGAGTTGTTTGTCGAACGCGTCCTGGATTTCGACGGTTTGGGAACTCGCGTCAAATTTCGGATTGGGTCTCGTCATTTTCATGATGGCCCCGTCAGGCGAATCCGAGTCCCCCGTTCCCGAGTCTTACGTCTCCCCGATCTAATTTGGGTCCGCAATTGGCGACGGTTCCGCAGACCGCAGCCCCCCAGGGATGACGACGTCTACTTTGGGTCCAGGTGTGACGTCACCCCGTTGGATCCCTAGCAACTTTCGAAAGTGGCGACAGTTCCGCAGATCGCAGCCCCCAGGAATGGCGAGCTTGAGTTTCAGCTTGCGTATGACAATACACCGTTGGGCTTCCAGCAGCCTTCGAAAGTGGTGACGTATCGCAGCCCCCCAGGGACGGCGAGATCTAATTTGGGTCCGCGTGTGACGTCATTCCGGTGGGCCCCCAGCAACCCTTGTAAGTGGCGATATGTTCGCAGATGGCAGCCCACCCCCAGGGATGGCAAGGTTTAGCGCTGGACCCCCTCCCAGCAGCGTTCGAAAATGGCGACAGTCTCGCAGACCGCAGCCCCCCAGGTTTTAGTGTGGGTCCGCGCATGACGTCGCTCAGCGGAACCCCAACAACCATCGAAAGTGGCGACTGCTTCGCAGATCGCAAGCCCCCCAGGGATGGCGAGGTCTAATTTAGGTCCGTGTACGACGTCACTCCGCTGGACCCCCAGCAGTTTTCGAACGTGGCGGCAGCCCCGCTGACCAGTCCCCAGGGATGACGAAAACGAACGAAGGTTTGCGTATGACGCCACGCCGTTGGACCCCCAGCAGCTTTCGAAAACGGTGAGAGTCTCGCAGATTTCAGCCCCCCAGGGATGCCGAGATTTAGTTTAGGATTCCGTTTGACGTCACCCCATTGGGTCCTCGAAAGTTGTAACGATCTCCCAGACCGCAGTCCCCCAGGGATAGCGAGGTCGAGTTTAGGCCCGCGTATGACGCCACTCCGCCGGACCACCCTTGCAGCCCTCGTAAGTGGCGACAGTGTCACAGGCTTCAGGTACCCAGGGATGGCGAAATCTTTTTGTTGGCCCGCGTATGACGTCACTCCGCTGGGCCACCCGGCAGCCCTCGTAACGGGCGACGGTTTCGCAGACCGCAGCCCCCCAGGGGTGGCGAGGTCAATTAGGTCCGCGTATAACATCAGTCCGTTGGAGCCCCCAGCAGCCCCCGAAAGTGGCGACGGTTTGGCAGACCGCAGCCCCCAGGGATGGCGAGATCGAAGTAGGGTCCACGTGTGACGTCACTCCGCTGGACCCCCAACAGCCCTCGAAAGTGGCGACAGTTTCACAGCTCGCAGGCCTTCAGGGATGGCGAGGTCGAGTTTAGGTCCGTGTATGACGTCCTCTGCTGGACCCCGTGACAGCCCCCGAAAGTGGCGACAGCCTCGCAGATCGCAGGCGAGGAGGCAGGACAGCAAGCAAGTGCTTAGGAGGCAGGTATGAGGCAGGGTAGTCGGCAGGCAGGAGCGAGGCGGGAGGAGGGCGAGATGTGCGACCGCAGTGCCTTCCTCGAAATCAGAACCCAACGCAGGAGGGTTAGGAACAAATATCTAGACGAGGGACCCAGCCAGGTGCAGGCGCGAGTACCCCAAGACAGGTGGAAACTGAGGACGGGTGCGAGCAAAATGACCAGGGCGCGGGTGAAGATCACGAAGCAATGATGCTGATGGGGGCGGACTGGGGTAAGTCGGGTATGCAGCCTAATACTTGCCTGCCTGTGTGTTCGTCCCCCTCCTCCCCCTCCTCCTCGTCCCCCCTCCTTCTACATGTCCTTCCCCCTTTCCCTCCCTCTCCCAAAATATGGCGCGGGCCAAAAAATATGCTGATGGGCCACATAGGTCAGCCGTAACGGGTTACATCCGAATGTATTCTGGCACGGTTGGTTTGCGCGTCTGTCGGCGTGGCGTGGTCTCGCGTGCTTCGGTGGCGGTCCCGGGGAGGGAGGGCGGGGGGGCACAAAACGCGAGAGGGATGTGATGAGATGGGCGCAATCACGCGCCCTAGCCTTGCCATAGGGGCCTTCGGTGGAGTTCCCGATGAAGCCACGATCCTCGTGAGGGGTGTGCCGCAGTGGTCGCGGTCGCATGCGAGCTTTGCTTCCGGGGCCTTCGGGGGAGCGTGAGGGGTGTGTCGACTTGGTCGCAGTGACGCATGCTAACCCTGCCAACGGGGCCTTCAGCGAACGAACGAACGAAGAAGCCGTGCCATGACGGCACATCGGTTGCAGTGCATATGGTGTGCGAAACAGAAATGCAGCTTCATAGCGGCTCGCCTGTTTAGTTCACTCGGGAGGGGGGAACAAAAAAGGGCGGGAGGACTGGCGGAGGGCAACAGTAAGCAGGCAAGCCCCTATGAAAGAGAACGACAGTGCTGCCGGACAGTGGCCTTCCAGTTCTGGAGAGAGCCGTTACCATTCGACAGCGTTATTGTTAGCTGGCCCTCGTCCTGCTGCGCGGCGCTCAGTGCATGCGCCCTGACTCTCTGGCCCCACCACACCCCTGGGCGCCCTCTTTTTCGAGAGGCCCCTGGGCGTGCCAACGTTGTGGATGAAGGTTGCAATACTGAACGTCGTGCGATAGGTGCGTCCGGCATCGTGGCCACCTGCCCAAGCAATAACCTGTTTTTTTTAGCCTTGGCAATATCGCTCGTGATCGCCCCCGCCCCCCCCCCCCGATCACGTCACGCTGTTTTCCCCACATGTCTCAAGGAATCTTCCAGGGTTTCCAGAGAATCTCAAGGGTTTCCAAGGAATTTGTCGTCATCGCTGCTGTCCGCGACCGGGAAGTGGTGGTGGAGGAGGAGGAGGAGAAAACCATATCTTTTCGAGGGCCCGTTCGAAGGATTTGTTTAGGGGATGTCTCGAGCGAAACGCTGATTATCAAACGAATGTGCAAAAATCCAAAGGGTTTTTCGATAATTTGCTTCTTGGGCCATCTTGGAGGTCATCCGAGATCGCTCCGAAAAGATGCCTTACAAGAGCTCTTGGCGCATCCCATTTTTTCGAGGATATCTCAGGCGAAACGCTCATTGTTGGAGGTCCACGTACTAGACCAACGATTTCAGCATCCCCATTATGCGAGGATGTCTCAGGCGAAACGCCTATTTTAGCAAAATACGTCTTAAGATACGACCCTCAACTTCAAGATTTGGCGAGGATGTCTGATACCTCAAGCGAAACGCTCGTTTTTCAAACCTTTCCTGACATGAACGGGAAGCGCGTGAGAGGGAAGAGTTGCTCAAGAACTTGCAGCAGCAGCGCGATCACATGTAAGACAGGCGAGCTCTCCGAACGCTCACGAGGGGTACGTATGGACACGCGCCCCCCGAACGTTCACGAGCATATTCCTGAGTATCCTCCCCACTCCTCCGCATGAGGACGACGACGGCGAAGACGACGACCAGAGAAGAACGGAGAGGAGGAGGAGGAGGAGGAGGAGGAGGAGGAGGAGGAGGAGGAGGAGGAGGAGGAGGAGCAGGGGGAAGAGGAGGAGGAGGAGCAGGGGGAAGAGGAGGAGGAGGAGGAGGAGGAGGAGGAGGAGGAGGAGGAGGGAGGAGGAGGAGAAGGAAGAGGAGGAGGAGGAGGAGGAGGAGGAGGAGGAGGAGGAAGAAGAGCAGGAGGAGGAGGAGGAGATGGAGCAGCAGCAGCGGCAGCAGCAGCAGCAGCAGAATCTCAAGGTGCTCCCAGGAATTCCTCCTCAATCCCCTCTTCCTCCTCTGCTCCCTCTCCCTTTTCCTTGTCTTCCTCCTCCCGAGTGCCCGGGGGCTCGAAAAAGGCACCGGGAGGCCGAATCCCGCCGTGATGTGGTCGGGGGGGGCCAACCCCCCCCCCATCACGCCCGTTATCTCGGATAATTTAAAAACAGGCTCCACGCTCATCTGTTTGAGTAGACCTTCAGCGGGGCTCCTTAGAAGGCCACGACCCTCGTGATGTGTGTGCCGATTTGGGTGCAGACTCGCAGCGAATCCTGCCATTGGGACCTTCGGTGGAGCGTGAGGGGTGTACCGAAATGGGCGTAGTCATGCATGCGATCCCTGCTGCTGGAGTCTTTGGTGGAGCCCCCTTTGGGGCAACGATCCTTGTGAGGGGTGTGCCGAAATGGGCGCAGCTAAGCATGCGAAGTTTACTGCTGGAGCTTTTGTTGGAGCTCCCTATGTGGCTATGATCCTCGTGAGGGCTATGCCGAAATGGGAGCAGTCGCGCGTCGCGCATGCAAGCCCTGCTACTGGAGCCTTCAGTGGAGCTTCCCATGGGGCCACGATCCTCGTGAGGGGTGTGCCGAAATGGGCGCAGCTAAGCATGCGAATGCCGCTGGGGCCATCGGTGGAGCTCCCTAGGGGGCCGCAATCCTCGCGAGGGGTGTGCCGAAATGGGCGCAGTCACGCACGCAGAGGTTGCCACTGGGGCCTTCGGAGGAGCTCCCCACGTGACCATGATCCTCGTGAGGGCTATGCCGAAAAGAGCGCAGTCACGCACACGAGCCCTGACGGGGGGGGATGGGCACGTGGGGACGCGAGGCTTGCGCTTGTCAAAACGTGGACCCAACACCACAGGCTGGTTGGGAAAGCCTGTGGCCCATGCAGAGAGGATTCTGCACGAAGGTGCCGCGGGGTGCGGTGGGCGCGCCTCGGGATCCCTGGGTGCCTCATCCAGTAGTGTGTCGTACAGCTGGCACGCGGGGTAAGAATAGCTACACTGACCCTGGAAGGGTACCCGGTATCCTCCTACCCTTCGTGCCTGGGTTTTCCATCGTGGAATGTTGCTCGTCGTTTTGGGCACCTCCGTGGGGCCCTGGGCTATCGGCGAAGGGGCTCCTGCTGTTGCAGGCAGAGGTCTGGACCCCTTCCCCAGGAGTGCTGTCTCATCCCGAGCAGATGTTGACGGTCCAGGAGGAAGAATGTTCGCTGCATTTTCGTGCGCAGTGCGAGGGGGTCAGAGATTGCAGGTGCAGTTAAAAGAACTTCCCGTCCTCAGAGGCCTGCTCGGGTCTGACGAAAGGGGGGAATTGGAACGAGGGGGGTACGAAATCTACTGCAATCAGCTGCTTTCGGCTCTGCCGCCCAGCGCATTCCTCGATACATGGCGGCCTCTGGTGCCAGGACAGCGAGCTACGAGTGAGCTGATCCTCAAAGACCGCCTTTGCTATCCCCCCCCCGTTCGCCCGCCCCCGCATGCTCCTGGTAGGCACACTCAACGCGAAAAGGGCCTCTGCCGACGGGTGCACCACGAGAATCTCTCGTCGCCCGCTGGCGCCGCACGGCCCCGGGACAACTTGCGAAGCTCAGCGTCGACGAAGGATGTGCCTCGCGACTTCTCAGGGCAAGACTTCCGAACGTGCGTGCCTACAGTGGAGACCCGTGCCAAGAAGCACCCTGCTTGCCTCCAGGGTGCCCTGGGTGTCCTGGGTTTCGATGGTCTTGCGATGGGAGACGTGACGTTCCCGCGTCAAAAACCGATGGGCGTCCTGGGGTCTTAGGGTTGGGTTTCTTGTGGAAGGTTCCCTGTGGTCGGGCCCCCACTGCAGGGCAAGACTCCTGCACGTGTGTGCCTAGAGTACCGCGCCGCTGGACCCCCACGCCATAGGGGCAGGGCGGCGCGCCGCGGAGCGGCGCCGAACGCGCCGCCAGAGAGGCTCCGCGCCGATCCTCGGCGGCACGCGAGGGGGGGAAGCGAGGAGGAGGAGGCCTTCTCAGACGGCGGCGGGACTTCTCAGGAGCCCCCCCCGCGCCTGCTGAGAGGGTTCCTGCGTCTTCGGGGAAGGCTTGGAGAACTTCTCAGGAGGCCCGGGGATTTCCGAGCCTTCCGAGAAGGCCCGCCCCTTCTCGTGTCCCCCCCCTCGCTCGCCTCCAAGATCCAGGAAACCCGCGCGGAGCTCCGAAAGTTTATGTTTATGCCGTTTCTATTATACACACACACACACCTCCCAGAGAGGTCGTGGACTCCAACAGGGCTGCTCTGTGGCGTCTGCTGCGGTCGGGCTTCGTGATGCTGATCATGGTGGCGGGTGCGTCCGTGATCGCGGACAGCGCCACGGGCTTACATCCAGGGGGGGTGTCTGGGAGGAGGAGGTGGAGGTGGAGGAGGAGGAGGAGGAGGAGGAGGAGGGGTAGGACGAGGACGAGGACGGTGAGGAGGAGGAGGAGGAGGAGGAGGAGGAGGACAAGGAGGAGGAGATGGACGATGAAGAAGGAAGGAGGAGGAGGAGGAGGAGGACGAGAGGAGGACGAGGTGGAGGAAGAAGACGAGGAGGACATCTCCATGAGATCCGAGGTCGCGAACAAACATACAACGTCGTAAAGACTCAACCAGAGCCCTAGACCCCATCACCTTTCGAGCCGGATCGATCTGCCAAGGTCCAGGGGCCTGAGTTGCCAGGCGAAAGGTTCAGCCGGTGAGATTCCGACGTGGACGATTCCAGGATCTCAGGGGAGGAGGAGGTGAACGCTGAGAAGAACACGAAGGAGGACTGTGGCTTCTCGCTCTCTTCGGGCTACGGCTCGGCCCCTCTCGGGCTCCGGGGCCGTCATCGGAATCTGAAGGGCGCTGGAGTGGGAGCACAAGATGGGGGGCGCAAGACGGGCGCGGTAGTTTTCAGCTGTCAACTCTTTTTGTTCCCGAGCCGCGTGGTTCGCGTTGCCCAGGCCACCCCATGCGAGGTTGGTGGAAAAGCGAAAAGCGAATAGCAATTGCAGCGCAATAGTCTGCGCAACGATGCAATAGTTTGCCGCAGTGACGTTGATGTAGTATGTGTTCTATCGGGCAGTAGTTGTGCCTTGCAGTGGTGCCTTGCGATGGTCTCGAGGACGCAATCGTTTGGAAGGGCCGCGAAACTTCCCGCAGGCCGAGCGAGCATCTGCAGTTATCTCGCCAGAGGCGGTGGGGCCTCGCTGGTGAGCCGGAGAGAAGACCGCGCGTTGCGCGAGGGTCAGAACTTTCCTTTGGCGGGGAGCTCCCTTTTGTGGTACTGCATGGAAGCAGGTGCCCGGGCTTGCCCTCGAAGCTTCTCCCGCCCTGCTCCCCGCTCCCCCCCGCTCGATGCCCCCCCCCCCCTCTCCTGCGCTCCCCTGCCGCCAGCCCTCCTGCTCCTCCTCCTCCTCCTCCTCCTCCTCCTCCTCCTCCTCC